AAGAACTGAAAAAAAAAAAAAAACATAAGAAAGCATTAGTGAGTGAATATGTTTTTCTGAGAAAAAAAATAGAAAAAAAAAACAAAGTGAAAAAACAGAAGCAATCAAGCTACTCTAGCTTACATTTACTCTAGCTTACATTTGTCCACTTGTACACCCGCCCAGAAGTGCAGTCAGTTATATAATGGAAAGAGCTGCCTGGAAATCCCCATAACCAGAAAAAAATTAAAAAAAAATCACAATCCCATGAAATGAACTGGGCTGACAGCCAATGAATTGTTACCTGCCACTCACGGGAAGTCGCATCAGAAACAGACAAGATTCTTTTTCTTCGATACAGTTTCTTTTTTTTTTTCTTTCTTCTAATAGAATAAAAGGAAAACGAAATGCAAATGGCATGTACTCTACCATCTGCACCTCATTAGCCTCAGATTCATCCACCGCGAACCATAAATCCAGCCACTTACAGTCTGGAAAGCGCCGCCAACCTGAGAACGCCCGAACTGGAAAATGGATCACGCTGCTGAACGGAGCCCCCCGAGGGCGTTCTGTTTCTCAGTCCATTTCCATTTCCATTCCGTGTAACAAAGATTGAAGATTCAGAGAAAGGATTACTTTACGAAACTAACAAGCCAAAATTTTCCGTACAAACTCAAAAAAAATTGAACGAAGAAATCTATATACTCACGTTGGCATGTGCAAGAGTGTATCTGACTGTTTGTGAGTGTGTCCGCCATGAATGAAATCCGAAAGCAATCCCGTTCAACCGAAAGAACAATCTCGTCTGTTTGTGAGGGCTAGTGACCCTAGGATTCCCAAGCTCTGGTCGTGATCGTAGTCAGATTCTTCATCAGAACGTGGCTGTAGTCGGAGAATCTCATTAGTGTTCCCTCCTCGCCTCACACGGGAAGGGAATGGCCCTGAGCGCACGCAGTAGGGCACATTGTCACACTGGTTTGTTTTTGTTTGCTTCTTTGTTTCTTTGGTTTTTTTAATGTTTTTTTTTTTTTTTTTTTAACCGGAGCGTTTTGTACTAAGCTCTGGACGGTTTTTTTTCTTTCACCAGGGTGTTTTGTACTAAGCTCTGGGGCACATTGTCACACTGTTTTTTTTTTTTTTTTTTTTTTTTTACCGGGGTGTTTTGTACTAAGCTCTGGACGTGATTGCCATTAACTCATCCAGGGTTCACTCATCCAGACATTTTCCTTTTGGCGTAGCTTTTCTTTCCCCCCCTCCTTGTGACTCCGTGCATGATTTGACATGCATGGCATAAACCAACAGCCCGAGCAGGACATCTTGCAGTCCGTTTGTCACCCCCCCTGGCCCCACAAATTGCCTTCCCCGTTCTGCTACAAGCCTGCGGCCGCACACCCTCTCGACTCCCCACCCGACTATGCCAGCACATATATTATTTTCAAGCGAGGAAAGGTACTGGTGGTTTAATCTTTACCCCTTGGCAAGTACCTATTCCCAAGTGCATCATAAGGTACTGGTGGTTTAATCTTTACCCCTTGGCAAGTACCTATTCCCAAGTGCATGCTTAGTTATCGTTCTGCCTTAGACGAGTAACCACTACGGCCCATTTTGCAATATTCCCTGATAGGTGGTGGTGATCCACTTGATGAGTGCCTCAAGCCTCAATTTGTGTGGGAAGCCTCGAGAATCTCCCTCGCTGTGTCACATCAGAGCAGCACTTTCATTACCTATCTCACACTTCAGAGTTTTAGAGGCTCCGACCAAACTGTGGCACCTACACTTCCACGGCCTGCCTGCGGTAGGATAGGTTCCTGCAAAGTACAACTCACCTCGACCTTCACAGTTGTGACAGTTACTCGGCTGGTGCATCCGTGCTGAGCTAACTGTAAAATTTACATTACCATGCTCGGGGTTAGATCGGTTTGATCGGTCAATGGCATTTTCGCATGCAACCCAACTCACATCTTTAAACCTTTGACAGATTTAAAAGGACTCTATCTTAGTCCGATTCAGGCTAGAAGAAAAGAAAAGAAAAGACAAGAAAAGAAAGAGCGAGTGCCATACGTAATCGCCCCTCAGACCGAGATGATAGCGATTA